TCTGGTCCTTCTAACCAGTGCTTCTAGTTCAACATGGACACTTAGCGATATAAAGAATTCTTAATTCGTCACCTCTAGTTGGTCTAGGGCAATGTATATTCATAAATTATGCAACACACACATAATCATGTTTTTCACAACAATTTCTTAATTGGAGCATATTTTTAATACAATCGATTAAGTTCTCTATTATATGTAAATTAAACATAGGTGATCAGGCTTTGTTTAATTGACATATAATAATGTGACCCGCTTTGTATATATATATATATATGTATACTTTTTAAATCACTTGAAAACTATTTTGAAAATATTTGGTTACTGTTTGTGGTTTTAAAAGAAAAGTCGGTGTTCTCTATAACTGAGGCTCTGATACCAAATCTGTCACACCCCGTTAAAGCGGAAACACGAGATGTAACAGGTAAGCGAGTCACAGCAACAGACAATAAATAACACCATAAGTTTTACAAGATTACATCCATAACCAAGTTGGTGTTTGAATACTTCTTTACAAAAGATACAAAATGAACTTAATCGGTGTCGCCACATATATGCTCCAGAAACTTCATTTCATACTTAAGCATGAAACATAAAACAACATCAACTACAAAGAGTTGGTGAGTTCACGGGTTTTCATATGCACAAAACATTACAATGCATAAATCATTTCTTGCAAACTTATACATAAACTTGCACCCGATAAATGTAAATCTATAACAATGTTTAAAACTTGAGACGCTACTAAGCCTTTCCTGACCAATGTGCCCCATTATTTTATGAACGACCATAAGTTGCCCGTACACTCACTTAGGTCCCACAGTTCGTAGTAGTACTAATTCAGTGGTGGTCCAATCCACATGATTAGACTAATAAAACATAGGTAATGTGCACCCCTTTCTGGGTGAGACTGTCAATACAATAGCGGCTATCCACAAATACCACGGCTCGGAGACATGCCCGAGTTAACAAGTAGCGTTTACGGACGAGGACTATATTTGGAAATATACTCTCAAGTACATCAATTTATCATTTATATCATAGTGCAAAACAGTCAATATTTCATGACATAAACAAATCTTGACTAAACAGTTTTTTAGTCCAACAGTTTCATAAATAAACAGTATAGTTTCCATAACTTCATGCTTTTACCCCAGTTTAAATAAACAAAAAACATTAAAAGTGGGGCCGTGAATACTCTCAAGTTTGCTGATGAATATCCAAGAACTTGATGACGTTTGAAGCGCTAAACGTCCGCCCTAACCTTCCTAAACAGTCCGAAATCCAACAACTAAATCACCTAACGGGTCTCGATAAAGATAAAGTCAAATTATATCTTATGTAATGCCAACGAGTTTTTGTGAATTAAAGTTGATACTTATATAAATTGCTCTAAAAATAGTCCAGAAATATATACTTTAAAATCAAAGTCCTTTGCACATAAAGTTACCATTTGGACAGAATGTAAATTCTGTTTCTAGAATTTTTGGTCTCACAAATCACTGTCAAAAGGAACCTTCCATAAGTCATTTTGTGTCCAAATTTTCATAACAGCAAGAATAATGAGTTAAACAAATTTTTCCCGAATATCAAGAATTTTGGATGGGTTTAAGGCACTCATTAATACCCTACAACTTTGAGTGACACAGTCCCCAAGACATATTGCACTCTTCGAGTGACGGCCATTTTGTGACATTACGTCATTTCTGAGCCTCAGGTTAGCACCTTATTATAGATCCTATATTTAGAATTATAAATTTACTAGGATCTAGTCATGGTGGTTAGAGTTCATCTGGTTTAGTTCCCAAGTTTAGTTCGGAAAATCATGCCTCGGCGGGTAACCGATAAAGATAACTTGTGTAATGCCAAATATTTTAGTAATGCTCCAAATAAAATAAAGTTGATATTATAAACTTTTAAATTAAAATGCAAAAGTGCCATTTGAATGTCCACATAATTTATCAAAAGGTGGAGTTTTGGAATTAATAGTGTCATTTTATTTATGTTTGGGTAAATTATATAGTGGGTTTATTCATATTAAGAAAAATAAAAGTTTTATTTGGGTTTGGGCCTTTAGAGGCCAGCCCATTTCCTTCTTTAAAATCCTCATATAAATACCCCACATCCTTTGAAAAACTCTCATTTTCAAACTCTCTCAGCCTAAGCTTTTCATCTCTCTAAAAAAAACCACCTTCCAGCCGATTTCTTCAAGCAAGCCTTCTGTCAATCTTTGAAGAATACTCAAGATTTTAAGACAAAGGTATGATCCTATTTATCTTACCCTTATAAAATAACAAAAGTTTTCATCCTCCTACTCTTACTTCTTGGCCTTTTAGTTAAAATTCTGGAGAGTTAAAGAGGGGAGATTATTCATCAAAGACATGAGAATGTCTTCAAAAAGGATGATAATCCATGATCCATGTTCTTTGATCTTTAAGAAAGTAGGAGAAAGCCCCTTTGAATGCGAAGTCCGATCATGTAAAGATATGTTTTGAAGTATGGAAGAATCTTGCATGCATCCTAAATCGATTTGTGCATCTTCAAAATTTAATGAAATCGGAAAATAATTTCTGAAGGCTAACCGTTTTTGGTAGTTTGAAAATAGGGTCTAAATCTTTGGAAAATGATGAGTAAATGGCTGTCACTCGAAGAGTGTTCAATCTGTTTTGGGGGCTGTGTAATTCAAGATTGTAGGGTAATAACGAGTAACTTAAACTCACTCAAGTTTCTTGATATTTGGAATAGTCGGTTGATCTCGTTATTTTGAATGATGTAAAAGTTGGACATAAAATGACTTTTGGAAGTTTCCTATTTATAGTGATTTGTGAAACCCAAAATATACCTAGAACAGAATTTATAATCTGTCCAAAAATCAGCTTTTGAGTAAAGGATTTTGATTTCTTTTAATATATATAATTTTTGGGCTATTTTTAGAATAAATAATAAAATATCAACTTTAATTCATAAAAATCTGATGGCATTACATAGGATGCAATTTGACTTTATCTTTGACAAGAACCCATAGGTGAACTAAATACTAGATGTTGGTCTGTTTAGGGAGGTAGGGCAGACGTTGAGAGCTTCAGACGTCATCTTCTTGGATATTCATCATCAAACCAGTGAGTTCTCACGGCCCCACTTTTAATGCTTTTTGTTTATTTAAATTGGGGGAAAAGCATGAAGGTATGCAAACTGTACTTTATTTATAACCGTTGGACTAAAGAACTGTTTAGTCGATGCATTGTTTAA